TGCGTATCATATGATGTTGCGAGAAAATGATTTTAACCTCTTAGCCCGGTGTAGACAATTATTTCATCAATTTTTTAGACATGTATGTGAAGGTAGAAAGTGAACATCTCCGTTATATATCTTTAAATCAAGAAAAGTTGCGCGCTGATAATTATATACATTTACAAGATGCAGTTTCTAGCGACGCCAATGTAAACCCCAGAGATTTAGATAATTCTGCCTTCATCATTAGTTAACAGTCCCCGCTACCTACATGAGTACACACAAGACGCATTCGCCTCTGTACGAACTTACGGAAGACCTGATCTTTTTGTTACTTTTACTTGCGATCCCACATGGAAAGAAATAACCGAGGAGCTAATGCCGGGCCAAAAAAGTACTGACATACACGATTTAGTTGCTAGAGTATTTAGATTAAAAGTACAAAAAATAATGTATGTAATCAACAAAGGGAAAATTTTCGGAGAAGTGAGTGGTTCCTGTATTCAATTGAATGGCAAAAAAAGAGGATTACCGCATGCCCACATTCTAATATGGCTTAAAGAGAAGTTGCGGCCCAGTCAAATAGACGACATAATAAGCGCCGAGATTCCGGATCCTGAACAAGATAAAGAATTGTGTGATACCATCGTCCGAAATATGATTCACGGTCCATGTGGAGCACGAAATTCAATATCGCCATGTATGAAAGAAGGAAAATGTACAAAGAAATTCCCTAAACAGCTATTAAAAGAAACAGTGCACAATGATAATGGCTACCCTTTATACAGACGCAGAGCTCCCGAAGATGGTGGCAGGAAAGTTACAATCAAATCTCGTTCTGGAGCGTTCGAAACCTTAGATAACAGCTGGATTGTCCCGTATTCGCCCATTCTATGTAAAATGTTTAATTCCCAGATTAATGTAGAAGCATGTAGCTCTTTCCGCGCAATCAAGTATATCTGTAAGTACATAAATAAAGGAAGCGACCAAGCAATATTTAATCTCAGGAGTGAAGGTGAGGCAAATCCCGTTAATGAAGTACAGACCTTTCAAGCAGGGCGTTATGTCAGCAGTAACGAGGCAGCGTGGCGTCTCCTTGGCTTCCCTTTACACGAAAGGCACCCAACAGTTACTCACCTTGCTGTGCACTTAGAAAATGGAGAGCGTGTATATTTCACCGAAAGAAATTTCCAAGAAAGAATTGCATCACCGCCAAAAACTACACTAACAGCCTTCTTTCAACTTTGTCAAACCGACTCCTTTGCAAAAACGTTGTTATATTCTGAAGTTCCTCGCTATTATACTTGGAACACATCTAGGAAGGAGTGGAAACGCCGTATTCAAGGCGCGCCTGTTGCAAATTGGCCCGGTGTAAAGTCATCAGATGCCCTTGGTCGTAGGCATGGGCGTTTTTGGATTTGAACGCAAACCGATATTTATCCGATTTCAGATTTCAAAATCCGTTTTTAAAAATCGGATTTCAGTATCGCCACGGCAATTCGTTTGCGTACTTAGATTTCGTTTTATATGTTAACAAAACGACAAACGCAAATCTAACTAATGCAGAAACAGATTTGCGAGATTATCCTTCATGCTTTAATCTGGGCTTAGGACTAGCAGAAAAATTTTGTATGAAATTAGAACTTTTCCGGCGCATTTAATAATCGGTATATTTATAATGATTTCTTATTATATTTTTTTTGGTTTCTTTTCGCTTTTTTATTTTTTTAATTTTTTATTTCAGAATCTGTTTGGATTAAGATTTGCGTTTAAAAACGCAATTTGCTCCACTTTTGACGACTTTAGACGACACCTCTTTTCATTTATTATTAATCTCGTCTTTGAAAAAATTCGTTCGCACGGAACGGATGTCGCGACAATATTGCATTTTGAGCGATATATTTCCGACAAATGTGGATAAATTATTTTATGATCAATAACTTACTCACTTAAAACGTACACTCACACACAATTCACTCCTGATTTTTAAAACATTTTTATAAACTTTTTTCATATATTTACTAAACAAAAAAGGTATTAAGGCAAAAAATATCAGTAAATAATATAATACAATACACTGTTACGACTGACCGGCATGCGAGCAGTTGTGTCACCACGATTAAATTTACGTCTAAAGTCTAAAACATAATATGAAAACAAAAAATTATTTTAAGTAAGCAAACACTTAACTAAAAACAAAAATAAATCATCACACAATCTCGCAAATATAGCCTTAAACGACTTAACAATAAGAATGATATTAATCGCATACTGAACCAAAAATTCAGCAACGCATAATCTCGCAAAGCCAATATAAACTTTACGTACTAAGCAGTAAGGATAATATTGATCCCATATCTCAATGTGTAATAGATTTTGATATTCCATAGCCGACAAACCGAAATCTGAATCTCAAAATTCACGTCATCAAGAGAGACACTGAAAAAACGGATTTGGATTTCTACGCAACAGTTTGCGTTTAGATTTGGATATTGTCGATTTTATTTTCGATTTGGATTAGTTTAGTTGTACAGATCGTAAGAGTTTAGTTAGTTAGCTCGATTTTTGAAATCGGATTTTCTAGTTTGAGCAATCTATACGAATCGATTTGTGTTTGAAATCGGATTTTAGATTCGTTTTGATATATCCGACTCGTGCCTACTTGGTCGTGTGTATACCGTCCATGTTTCTGTTTAACGATTGCTGCTGCACCATGTTCGGGGTCCTACAGGATATAAATACCTTAAAACTGTCAACAGTCAGGAATGCGCAACTTATAGAGAAGCATGTGAAGCTCTGCATCTTTTAGAAAACGATAATCACTGGGATGAAACCATGGAGGAAGCTGTGCAGTGCCAGTCACCAGCCATAATTAGGGATCTTTATGCAACTCTCATATCATCTTGCGGGCTATCTAATGCACATGAATTGTGGGACAAATATAAACAGTACATGGCGGAAGATATTTTGCGAAGGTTACAGCAGACACACGCGAACATGACATACAATGAACACATTTATAATGAAGCACTTGGAAAAATTGAAGATAAAGTAATGGCAATGGTAGGCAAACAATTAAGCGACTTTGGAACGATAAGCCCTCAACCGAAAATTAACTAAGTGATGAAATTATACGTGAAACAAACTACGATATACCAGCTTTGCAGCAGCAAGTAGCCGAATTTGTACCCCGCTTGCTTCCCGAACAAAAACGAGTTTTTGACAAAGTATTAGGACAAATTGAATGTGGAAATGGTGCACTTTTCTTTTTAGATGCCCCTGGAGGAACTGGGAAGACATTTTTGTTTAATTTATTATTAGCGCAAGTACGGAAAGATAAAAACATTGCTGTGGCCGTAGCTTCCTCCGGTATAGCCGCCACGCTGCTAAGCGGGGGCCTCACTGCATATTCTGTTTTAAAACTCCCTCTAAATCTAGCCCAGGAAGAATCGCCGATCTGCAACTTTAGCAAAAATAGTGCACGAGGTATAATGCTACGACAATGCAAACTTTTAGTGTGGGACGAAAGTACAATGTCGCATAAAAAAACTGTAGCAGCACTAAATCGAACGTTTAGGATTTGCGCAGCAATACCGATGTAATGGAGGAATGGTGGTTTTACTGGCTGGTGATTTTCGCCAAACTTTACCTGTCATTCAAAAGGACACACCTGCATATGAAATTAAAGCATGCCTCAAGTCGTCTATTTTATGGAACGAGATGACAAAATTCAGTTTAACTACGAATATGATAGTGCATTTGTATAATGATATCAATGCTGGAAACTATGCTGACACACTATTAAAAATTGGCGATGGGCGGTTAGAAACGGATGCTGAGGGCTGCGTTAAATTGATGAGAGATTTTTGTAATTTAGTACAGAGTCATTCCGAATTAATTGCGATCGTTTATTCAGATTTAACGAACAACGTGCATGAAGACAAATGGTTATGTGAAAGGGCGATTCTTGCACCAACAAATGAGAGCGTTAACAAAAAAAAATTCAGATATATTAAGCGAAGTAGCAGAAATAACAGAGTATTTGTCAGTAGACACAGTTATGGACACAGAACAGAGCACTTCATATCCCGTAGAGTTTCTAAATTCTCTAGAGTTGTCAGGCCTTTTGTACGCCGATGATCAAGTTATTCTTGCGTCGTCGGCGGCCGAGTTGCAAAACGATGGTTACATTAATGAACGGATCATTAAAAGAAAGTGGTATGAAAGTGAGTTTCATGTTTGAAAAATATAACATTCGAAATTCAAACATTAATAAGTGGCCAGGCGCGCAGAAATTTCAGTTTGCCCTAATTTCGTTATGTTTTTGAATCGTTTTACTAAATCATGTCCATTTTTGTATGTATCGTTTTCTGAAAAACATAACATCGATTTACTTGTTTATTAATGTTAATAAGGTATACAATATGTAACAAAAACCCTGTGGTTCCCGTTAGGTGTGTTATCAAAATCAGTATCCAAGCATATAAAGATATTTTTTTTTTTCAAAAAACACATTTAAAAAAAAATGATTTTAATGAAAAAAAAATTAATTTGCAAATTGTATGTGGTTTTATTTCCTCTAATTCACACGAGTATCGGTATCGCGGGGTCTTTGACAATCCTCTTACTCCTCGGCCTATGGAGAGATAATAAAACCACATACAATTTGCAAATTAATTTTTTTTTTCATTAAAATTATTTTTTAAATGTATTTTTTTTTGAAAAAAAAAAATTATTTCTATATGCTTGGATACTGATTCTGATAACGCAGTTAACGGGAACCACAGTTACATGTTGTATATTTAAAAATCCAAGCAATTTTCAGAGGTCGCCGCAAAGTCGTAGCGACTTTGTCACAGAAATATTACAAAGAACGATAAAAAAATAAACTATGGGTGCATTCATTATAATTTTATAAGAGACCGATGCCAAAATAATGTAGGAATTGTTGTCCTTGCTATATTCAAGTAAGGATCATTGGTTAGCGCGGCCGTTGAGAGGGTTTGGTTGCGTGGCAGGTGCAAGCGACGATGGTGCCGAAGGGCATGGTGCGCGAGTGGGCGGCGGCGACGTTCGCGGCGCCCACCGACTACTGGACGTTCCGCAAGATGCTCACGCTGCAGCTGGCGCTCGCCGCCTTCGCCGAGTACGTGCTGCACCTGACGCGCCTCAACCCCGACATGCTCTACGTGCACCAGGACTCGGGACTGCTCAACGTCGCGTACTTCAAGTTTGACGTGGACGACACAACCGGTAACCTATACTGCCTTGTTTATAAACTAATACACATAGGTAACTAGTTTCCGACCGAAGGTCGATTTCTAGCTGAAGTTTAAGCCGATACCGATTGATTGACTATCTGCCACAAACTGCTCTGACTTTATTCAAAATTGCATTTAAGATCTGGTTTAAGAAATTTATTACCTCAAGAATTTTACATTCACTTATGAGACTCACATATCTACAGCTTAATATAAATTTGGTTTGGGCTATTCGTACAAGGTAATAATGCAAATTACAACAAAAACTACTGAAGACATACAAAACTATATGTAGTGTAAAAATTTGTTTAGCACAGCAAGTCAGACTTCGTGCAAATTCGGCCGCCGACTTCTTAATGTGGATTTACACAGATAAGCATAACTGGATGTGACTCGCATAAACTAAGTGTTATTATTAGTATAGTAGATTAGATTTGATAGTCAAGAAAAATCTGAATAAGTGTCATGTATGAAAATTTATATCTATAATGAGCTATTGTAATATTTATATTATTTATTATTTGAAGTAACTTAAATAATTGATGTTTTTAGTGTACACGTATGTTTGTGATATGTTCATTACATTAATTTGTTTATAAAGTTTACCTGTCCGTATAAGATAATTGAAATGAAATAATACTTTTAAGAATTTATTTTGGGCAGTTTGTAATATTGCTTTATTATTTTTGGCTCCATTACCCCATATTTCTACTAAATAATCGATTTGTGGTTTAATAATGGTATTATAAATCGTATACCGTGCGGAACCTGGTAGACAGATACCCATTAGAGATGTCAGCTTGGATTTGATTTTTAGAATGTGTGGGAGCCAAGTTAATTTACTGTCTAAAATAAGACCTAGATACTTTTCTTGTTCTGCCTTATTAATTTTTATGTCATTAATCGTCAACGGACTACAGTCATCAATCTTTTTGTTTTTTGCAGCAAAAATCATATAACTCGTTTTGGTTATGTTGATCGTTAAAAAATTGCTCTGTAACCATTGGTTTATCTGATCCAAATCATTTTGTGCTTCTGATAAAATAGATCCGATTGAATGACCATAATAAAAAACACACGTATCATCAGCGTACAAGGTTATATCTCCACTTAAGCCTGTCTTATTAATATTATTCATATATATAAGAAATAGTAGTGGCCCCAAGATAGAGCCCTGAGGCACACCAAAAGCTGTTCTAAAAGAACTTTGTGTTTTATCTATTTTTACTACTTGTTGGCGATTACTTAAATAAGATTTGAAAATAGCTAACGCACTGTAACTGATCTTGGCAAGTTTATGTAATAGCAACTCGTGGCTCACTGTGTCAAAGGCTTTTTTCAGATCTATAAATACACCAAGTGCAATTTTTTTCTTGTCTAAATTTAACTTTATTTTCGTTATAAGGTCTACTGTAGCGGATAGTGTATTTGATTTTGATGTAAAACCATATTGTTTCTTACTCAGGAAATTAATTGACGTTAGAATATTTCAAGCCGATTGTAAATAATTCTTTCAAAGACTTTTGAGATTACCGGTAATACTGTTATCGGACGGTAATTCCCAGGGTCTAATTTTGGTCCACATTTGTATATTGGGGTTATTTTGGCAATTTTAAGACTGTCAGGGAACACTCCAATCTCTAGACATTTATTAATGCATTCGGTTAATTCTTCTATTATAAGACTTACTACTGACGCATTTGATTGCTTTAGGACTAAAACCGTCTAAGCCTGAGCTAGTGTTAGTGTTTAGGTTTTCAATTATTTCAGAAATTTTTCTACTGTTGTTGGTGCTAAGTGGCTAAGTTTTTGCGAGTCAAATCCGGAACTACCATCATTTTCATTATTGTAGCTTAAGTAAGGTTTTTTTTATTTGATTTGCTAAATTTGCAATTTTATAATATACTGTAAGTTACTTTATCTATTTAGCATCGGTAAAAAAATTGGTACATACCGTGCTAACCTGTAAATAGTGAGTCATTTACTAAGTATTATTACCTAGATTATTACTGATGTATTTGATTAATTTTAGTGTACTCACTGTTTGTGAACCAAATAAAATAAATAAATAAACCTTTGGCCGAAGACAAAGCTTCGGTCGTACATTATAGATAACGCTCACGGTATAATAGTAAAGAATAAAATAAAAGTGTTGTACAGTGGATACTACAAAATACTATCATAAAATTGCACTGCTTAACTTCTGCACTGCTTTTAACTTCTGTATTTCGTCTAGTAAGTGACGAAAAGGGTCTCCACATTTTTACTGATAACGGGACTTTCCATCTTTTTCCTTAGGGGTTAAAAACAACTGCATTTTAATTCTTCGTAAGGGATAGACCTAAGTGTCTACGGACCACATCATCGATTTATGATATATTTCTATTAATAAACCTTTTAATTAACAAGATTAAAAGAGAGCAAAAAACACATATCATTTCACTGTGTATACTGCGATACCGCGAAACTATCAGTGGATAATACCGCGGAAATGCGTGCGCACCAATTTGGAATACAGTGGACCTCCGGTAATCCGGCCCCCGTCTAATCCGGCACCCGCTGTAATCCGACATGGTCTATTATTGATTAAAACTACTTTTACGAATTTTATCGCGTTTTATTTATTTTATTTTTAATACCCGACGTTTCGAGTGCTTTCCAGCACCCATGGTCACGGGGGACTGAGGTGACTGACGTCCCGATGTCAAAGTTAACACGGTCCGTGTTAACTAAACAATGTATAGTGTTCGCGTAAATATAAGAAATCATTATGGTCTATTATTTATGATTGAATATTTTTTGACAATCTTCGCTAATGCATGATTGAACAAGTTTTAACTTGTACGCCCCACCACTATTGTGCTCGACGCGTAGGGTATTGTTGATTCTGTCTCTTGTTTTGATTCTGATTGAAAAAATTGATTCTGAAAATGGTTGAAAGATCATAATTTTCCTCAAAAAGCGTTATTGCTTAATTATATTATTAATAACGCTCTTAAACTGATTGATTCACAACACATAAAGTTATTGCATATTTTTGTAAGTTCTATAGCTTTAATGACGTTAATTTTATAATAAAACGTAAGCTCTCCATTGTGTTATTTAATTTACTAAATTTGACATACAGACATACATAATGAAGTATTATTTGTACTTCAGAGTACATATACATATATATATATATATATATATATATATATATATATATATATGTATATATATGTATATACTTATCTTCACGCACAATCCCTAACGGGGTAGCCAGAGAGAACAGATCGACAAGTGTCACGATCCTTACATACCTCTTTCGCTTCTTTCTGGTTCATTATCTTCTTAATACATGTACGTCTAGGTATCCGAGTACTCTTGACCTACCCCTCTTCGAGTAATTTGCTCACATGGTCTTCGAAAGTTAGTCTCGATCTACCTCGACACCTTTTAATATTTACTTTCGCGCTATATATTTTCTTCACCATTCGGTCTTCACTCATTCCCTCAACGTGCCCAAACCATCGGAGTACGCCCCTATCAACTTTTGTGATAAGGTCATCTTTCAATCCTGCCATATTGCGAATCTCTTTGTTTCGCTTTCGGTCGGCTATGGTAACGCCGCACATTTTACGAAGAGATCGCATCTCCACTGCATTCAACTTGCTTTTATGCTTCTTCTGGCATACCCAGGTTTCGCTGCCATATAACAAAGTCGGTACCAACACTGTGTTATGTATAGCAAGGCGTGCACTCTTCACTACGCCTTGCCTTTTGACTAACGCATTCAGGGCACCATTGACTTTGTTCCCGGCAGCAACACGCCTGTCCACATCTAAATCACATCTTCCATCCCGGCTGAAAGCACTCCCCAAGTATACAATTTCATTTACCTGTTCTAGACATTCCTGATTTACCCATATTTCACATTTCGTTCTCTCTTCGTCCTTTTCAAATACCAGAACCTTAGTTTTATTAGCATTCAAACGGAGACCTGTAATTTCACATTCCTCTTTCATACACGTGACTAATGCCTGCAGTTCTGCTTCTGATGGTGCAATAAGCACTGCATCATCAGCATACAGCAGACAATTTACGTTAATGTTACCCAATTTCACGCCCAAACAGCTATTTTTCAGCTTCTGTAAACAGCTGTCGAGATACAGTATGAACAGCCAGGCAGACATGACACAACCCTGTTTTACGCCCGCTTGGACGCTAAACATGGGTGACAGGTCATGCCCTATCCGCACACAGGCTTTACAGTTATAGTAAAGTGACTGCACAGCCCTTAACAATCGACCATCAACACCATATCCCGGCAACAGTTCCCACATTTTCTTCCTTATAACCTTATCAAATACTTTCTCCAGACAAAAGCACAGAAAATCCTCTTGTTAACAGCCAGAAGCTTTTCCGTGATCATGCGGAGAGAAAACATTTGATCCGTGCATCCTCTTCCAGGTCTAAATCCGCATTGTGCCTCCCATAATAATCTTTCCGATTTCTCTTGCATCTTACGTGTCAAAACCTTCGAGTAAACTTTACTTGCTAAACTGGTCAAGCTGATCGCCCGATAGCACCCGCAGTCAAAATGTGAACCTTTACCTTTATATAAAGGTACAATGACCGCGGATCGCCAGTCATCCGGGACACCTCCCGTCCGCCAGCACAAATTGCATAGCAGATGAAAGCTGTCCCAGACGCGAGGCCCACCGTACTTGACCATTTCAGCAGTAACTCTGTCTAGTCCCACAGCCTTACCACATTTCAAACTTCGAATCGCATGTTCAATCTCTTTCATGCTGATGATCTCAGTGTCATCGAGGTCCGTGTTTGGTGTGCCAGTCACAGCGTCACCCTCAGATCCTTCACTAAGATCATGACACGCATACATTTCTCTATAAAATACGCTCCATCGCTGCATGACGTCCGATTTTTCTGAGAGGACGTCATTGGTTTACGAAAGCACTTTGTTCATTCTTAAGGTTGTCACACCACTCC